AAGGCATCTAGGTTGGTTCCACAGTTGAGCTTTTGTGAATTGTGCTGCAATAAACATTGATGTGGCTGTGTCCCTGAAGTATGATGTTTTTAAGTCCTTTGGGTATAAACTGGGTCAAAAGATGGTTCCACTCCCAGTTTTCCAAGGAATTTCCATACTACTTACCTGATTGGCCACACCATTTTACCCCACATCCTTGACAAGACTTACTGTTATTTGTATTCTTAATAGCTGTCATTCTGACTGGAGTGAGATGAAATCTTAGAGTAGTTTTGATTTGCATTTCTCTAATTGCTAGAGATGTTGAACATTTTTTCATATATTTGTTGATTGATTATATATCACCTTCTGAGAAGTGTCTGTGCATTTCTTGGCCCATTTATTGATTGTGTTACTTGTTTTTTTTTGTTGTTGTTGTTGTTTAGCTTTTTGAGTTCTTTATATACCCTAGAGATTAGTGCTTTATCTGATGTGCAAGTGGTAAAAATTTGCTCCCAAGCTATAGGCTCTCTATTCACCTCACTGATTGTTTCTTTTGCTGAGAAGAAGCAACATACATACATACAATGGAATATTACTCAGCAATAAAAGAGAATAAAATTATGGCATTTTCCAGGTAAATGGATGGAGTTGGAAAATATAATGCTAAGTAAAATTATCCAATCACCAAAAAAACAAATGCCAAATGTTTTCTTCCATATAAAGAGGCTGATTCATAGTGGGGTTGGGAGGGGAAGTATGGGAAGATTAGACAAACTCTAGATAGGGCAAAAGGTGAGGGAGTGGAAGGGAGGGGGCAAGTGGTATAAAAGAAAGTGGTGGAATGAGATGGACATTATTACCCTAAGTACATGTATGGAGACATGAAAGGTGTGAATATATTTGTGTACAACCAGAGATATGAAAAATTGTGTTCTATATGTGTAATATGAATTGTAATGCATTCTGCTGTCATATATAACAAATTAGAATAAAAAATTTAAAAAATAAAAACAGCAACTCTGTTAGGGAAGTCCCTAATCTTAATGTCTTCATTATATAAGTGAGGAAACTGAGACTTTGGTCTTTAGTTTAAATGTCTTGCTTAGACACCTGAATTAAAGTCACCCCAGGAAAAAATTTTCTTCTGAAATAAAGCATCTTCCCCTCCTGTTCTCAATCTTCTCTCCATACCCAAGGAAGAAGCCTGAAACCAAGCTGAGTAGTCTTAATGCAAATGTCCATTTGCATTGTGTGAAAAAATCAGACCTACAAACATCTGCAACTTTTATTGTATTTTCTGCCTCAAGCTTTATATCTTTTCTCTGGATGGAAAACAACTGAAGCACTTAACATCTAGCTCTGGCAAAGTAGCCATTCATAACTACAGGCTGATTTTTATCCACTAATTCTATAGCTCACCAGTACCTTGCTCCTGAGCTCTTAGATTGGCTGCAGCTGGTCCCAGTTATTGAGTTAATTTTGTCGAGTGGACCTTAGGGCATTTAGTTTACTTAATATTAGTTGACTTAGTGCTTTGTGACTATCTGCTTGTTTTACTTTGCCTTAAAAGTTGCATAAAAATATTTGTTTTGATCTTGGTGAAATAATTCTATTTTTCTTCTTTGTATAGCAAATGTTTTTCCTTTACCATGATCCATGGTTCAATTTTTTTTGTCTGTTTCTCACAGTTCCTATTTTTTTTTTAATACCACTAGAATTTCCTTTTCACCTCATTTTCTGCATTTTTTTATTCCTACTCTACCATGCAACTTACCTTCTGATGACTCCTCTAAGATATAAGTGAAAATGTGCGTTTCCTGCTCACCAGACCCTGATCACCAGAACTGCTGTACTTTGGGTTTTATCTAAACAAATAGCATTAATAGACTTGTTTATACTTTGTAAAAATCTTACTCTTTAGGAGATATGTTCAAATAATTCTGTCCAATTGTGCTTGGGGTGCTTACATTCCATGAAGTGGGTATACACAGAGGTTTATATAGAACTCCATTAAGTATTTATAATAGAGTGGAGCGATTTTTTATTTTAAAATTTTATATATATATAATGTTTGAACTTGTCTATGAGAAATCCTTTTTCAAATGTCATTATTTCCATTTTGAGATAATGGATAGTATTTGATAAAGAAATATGCTGAGACATGATCTATGTAAAAATTGCAATGCTTGTTAATAAACAGACTTAAGTTTTTATAAGTATTTGCATATTGCAGCCTATAAATGGAAGCCAAATATTTTTAGTGCTATTGTTACATTTTTGTGATAGTAATCTAAGTTGTCAAAAATATTTATAGCCAGAGAATGGTGATTATTGTGTGTAATAGTAATTTAAACGTTTACTCTGAAATATTAAAAAGGGGAATTTTATAAAATAAAAATGAACCTTAAAAATTGCATTCTCCCAAACATTTTAGCATTTTAAAACAAGACTGATTACTTAATTAAATTATAATATTTACTTTATTAACTGACTGTAAAAATACAGGATTGACAATTGCTAAAAATAGATATCAGTGCCCAGTGTGGCATTGCACACCTGTAACCCCAGATACTTGGGAAATTATAGCAAGTTCAAAGCAGCCTGGGCAACTTAGAAAGACTGTCTCCAAATAAGAAATTTTTTAAAAGGCTGGGGATATAGCTCAGTGGTTGAGTGTTACTGCGTTTAATCCTAAGTAAAAAAAAAAAAAAAAAAAAAAGAAGAAGAAGAAGTAAGCATCAGTATGATACATAGAATTTATCATATTTTATGGGAGGGTTTTTTTGTTTTTGTGGGGTGCTGGGGATTCAACCCACATCCTTGTGCATGCCAGGGGAAGCTATCTACCAACTGAGCTATTTCTGTAACCAGGAGAATAATTTGTTTGGTTTGGGTTTGGGTTTTGGGTTTTGTTGTTGTTGTTTTGGTTTGGTTTGGTTTCGTTTTTTTTGTTTGTTTGTTTGTTTGTTTGTTTTTTTGAATAGGGGTAAAGAAATATTTGTAAAATAGAAAAAAAAAAGACAATTCATAAATGCCATCATCTATAAAAGCCATCCTAGAAATTCTTGCAGTAAAATCTTGGGGACTACATTGGTCTAAACATTTACATTTGAAAACCTCTATGTATTATATATTGATGCAATGTATTACCATGTGGATACTTGATACATTTACCAGGGGAGATTTTTGTTATGCTTTCAGTGTAAAACTACAAAAATGCATTATGAAGTTCAAGATAATATTGTTTTAATCTTGGGCTAGAGTTGTGGCTTAGTGGTAGAAACTTGCCTGGCATATGTGAGGCCCTGGATTTGATCCTTAGCACTGCAAATAAATAAATAAGTAAATAAATAAATAAATAAAAATTCCATTTACAACTAAAAAATATTTTTTTAAAAACAGTTTAGTCTTTTTTAAGCCTAGAATGTAAATGCTTTGGGTGTTGTCTTCTTCACATGACTAAAAGTGCACTATAAATCTATTATTCTATAAAAATTATTACTCTGGTCCATTAAAATCTAAACAACTTTTTTTGCCCACCATGCATTTTATACTCAGGACTTAAAATGTATGCCTGTATATGACTGTCCATGTAGATATATTCTATAAATATTCATATCATCACTTATATAAAGAAGAAACATTTCATCCTATATTACTCTTAAGATTTGTTTTGTTTTTAACTTTTATTCCAGGCAACTGATATAACTCGCTTGACTGAACACGTTTTTATGTATGTCAGTAATACCTGGACAAAACCCATTAGAAATTTATTATCAGATTTGAAATTCCATCATCTTCCACAAATGCTGGAAACTGATATGCTTTTTCTTCCAAGTTCTTACTGATAATAGGCTTGCAAGGAAAACACATTAAAAGTAGGCCTCATCCACTGATGAGAATATATTTCATGTATTTATTTTAGATTTCAGATCATTTAAAGAATACTTTGGGCTTAGTGAATTCAGCAGGTATTTTACTTTCTTAACGCTATTCTCAACTTTGCAGCAAGGAGCCAGAGTTCCACCATTTTCAATTTGGAACAGAAAAGCATTTGTCGCAGCTGTAGCTCTTAATTTGACATCTAGTTTCAGGTCATTTTCATGTAAATAGAAAACAATAGAAACCTGCTTACAATTTCCATAAAGGGGATGTTTGCTTCAACTTTATCATTTTCCTCTAGCAATTTTATTTTCTCTTTCTGGGATTAAAAGAGCCGATAATTGTTCACAGTTATTATTTTTCATCTTTATAAAAACTTGTTAGTTCCAGTCTTTATTACTCAAAAGCGCCCAGTGCCTTCTATATTTGAGTCATACACACTACCCATTAATGTTTCTAGCTCATCCTTTCCTTAATCTGGGCTAGGTTAGGCAGGTCAGCTTTTCTATTTCTTTCTATAATACATTTTCTCCAGGTTTTTGCAACCTCTTTTTCTACCTTAAAAAAATAAATAAATAAACCAGCATGTGAAAATTTGGAATTGTTTCATTGAATACAGCTGATACAAGTTTATGTTTTGATTTATGTTTCTTTAAACATGCCCAAATGTATTATCAACAGTAGCTTCACAGTCATTATAAAATGTAATTCTGTGCTTTTTCTAATAAATATTTTATTTCATTTTTACTCTGTTTTTGCAGGGGAGCTAACTTTTTGCGTAAGCATAGATATACATTTACTTCCATGTGTTTTACAGTAATTTTCAAGTGAGTCTCATTGGAGAGAAATTTCATTTTTGTGTATCACTTTTTAAATATGTTGATTGATGCAGATTAAATGGGAAGTTGTTTTTGTCATTTCGATTGTTCCTCTTCTAGTGGTAAAAATAAGAAATCACAGTCTTTTAAATTTTTTTAATGAATCTTCTGAACATACCTGGAAATCATGTACTCCTTTGGCTTTGCCTGGACTGGTACAGTAGTTGCTATCGTCCTGGGGGGCGGGGGCAGGGGTTGAAGTGCCTCATCTGGTTTTCAGCAGAGATTCATCTGTGCTTCTGTGTTTTCCTGCCCCAGTGATATGACAAGAACGGTGGAGATTTCTGGGGAAGGAGGCCCCTTGGGAATACATGTGGTGCCCTTCTTTTCATCTCTGAGTGGAAGGTAAGATGATTTCCTGGTTTCAGAAGCTCACACTAATTAATGGAAACCCTGAGGAGCCCACTTTTCCAGTCATTCTTCAGAAAAGGACCAAGTGTGAATTTCTGTTATTCACATAAACACCTCAATATATATATTTGTTAGCCTCAGATGCATTAGAGGCAAAACTAAATCATTTACTTCTAAGACGTAATGAAAAAGAAAAAAAAAGTCCCTCGCAATTTCTCTATTTGAATTAATTATAATGTTTTTTTAAAAAATATTCTTGTCAGAAGCACATAGTAAACAGAATCATTGACAAAGGTTTTAATATATTGTTAAACAAATATAGCTATTGAAAAATTTTAATTTTAAAAGATACACTTCAACAAGTGAAGATAATTTCTAATTTATATTTCCTCCTATTGCTCAGGCATATAGAGCTAAGAATAATAAACATTCAATATTCTAGTAGCTACATCAGATATCATATATATATATATATATATATATATATATATATATATGTATATGATGATTTTGCTATAGAAGACAAATGACATCCTGCTATTTATTTTTTTCTAAAATAACATTTAGAACATTAAAAATAATTTACTACATTCTTTCAGAATTTCAAATACATTATATTTCTAAGCCCATACTGGTAAATGGCAGTTTAGAGCCTGTCAGCGTTTCTTGGAAGCCACATCTATCTAACTGAATATAAAATTTGTTTTGTTGACAGAAATGAAAGTGTATGCCCTGGACCTAATATTATCACTTATGGACCTAGTTTCCTATATTATGTCACTTTCCAATAAGATGACCACCTTTAGCACAAGATTAATTTGACAGTGATTGCCAGAAACTTAAATGAAAATAAGTTTCTTGGTTACATGATGTTTTAATGACTTTACTAAATGGATTTTCTTGAATGCACCATCAAAAGGTAGAATGATTTATTTTAGCTTGGGATGTCAGCCACAAGGAGGGTCCACTTCTTTTCACACAAAATCCAGATCTTCTGACTCATCCTTACTCCATTGCTCTTTCTAGAACTAAATTTTCCCAAAAGATTATGTAGTATTAATTTACTAGTCCTGAATGTTTACTCCATTCTGTCTGCCCTCTAGCAGGAAAAACAGACTCAGTCATGATATTTTGGTTGGCACCATATTCAGCAGGTAACCATCTGCTACCTATAATTGCAAAGTCATCACCCTTTTTTCCTTTTTGCAAATAACATCTGATGTCAATCTCTTGCTGGAATGAATGTTTCCTCAAAAGAAGTGAACCAGAAAGCTAGTGGCTCTTACTGTCTAGTTTCCTGTATGTGTTAATAAGCATGCTTATAAATGTTATGGGTTGTGGCACAGGACAAACTGAGGTTGTTTTTGATAGACAGGGTGGGTATTTACTCATTTCTCATGAAATGAGAAATTCTAATGGCTTCTGGCAGAAGGGTACTCATTGAGTCTTGTGAAAACACCAGAGTGCTTAAATTACCAGGCCCTTTAGTTTAATGAAGCTGGAATAGAACTCAAGATCTTCCCAATTTCCAAAAATGAGAAAATATACAATGTGACAGTCACCATACTTCATTTCCAATAGTTTGTAAAACAAGCTGGCCTTACAGACAAAAGAAAAAAAAAAAATCACCTCTCTCACTTCAAATAAGGAAAACATACTAGAATGTATCGATTTCCTCCCTTCTCCTTTCTGGTTCTGATTCCCAGCATAAGCCTGGTAGAATACTAGAAAGAGTATTGCAGTTGGATTCAGAAGAATTGGAATTAATCCCAGTGTTCATTTTATATGACCTTCAACAAAGTCCCCCAAACTTGTCTCTTGTGAATACCTACTTCACATCAAGGTTATGGGGACTAAATCACTTTTAAAAATGTGAAAGCTTCTTGTAAAACCCACAATGTATGAATGCATAAATTATCAATCAGTATTTTGATTGTTTTGGCTAAAATAAAAAAGCTTGATTCATTATAAGTTCATGGTCAACTGTTTAGTAAGTTAGAGAAATAGTTCTATTATTTTTTGCTATCCACTAGTATTATAGAAAGGAAATTTAATTAAAAAACATTAAAAATAATATGGAAGTGGAGACATGAGCCAATAAAATTTAAGAAGTAATGAGTGCAGGCTGAAATAGCACACTTAACTCAACCCATGTGTCTAGATGCCACTGCGTGTAGAGCATGTCAGACAAGTGTCTGACTTCATAATGCCATATGGTTTCACTGTGTGAGCACCGGGGCTTCGTTAAGGTCATAGTGGCAGACTTAGCTCTTAATTTCCTTCCATTTATTGGCTTGTGTCATTATTTTAAATTAGAATTTACATTTAATTCTTTATTAAGACTACTGTAATTGGCTTTGCCTCCAAAGTATTTTGTTTTTCATTTAGAAAAACTACTGTCACACCTGTTGTTGAATACGAAACCTAAGTTAGAACTACCTAAAATATCTTAGCTATTATACCAAAGTCTCCATGAACCTGTTTTAATACCTTAGCACAGGGATGTTTATTGCTGCTTGACTTGAGGGCCATTTGCCTTCTCAATAGAAAAACAAAACAAACACAAAGCAGCACTAAATCCTTGCAAGGAAAGAGCAATTTAACTTCATTTGTTTAAAAAAAAAAAATCTGTGCTATTTTTTTTTTAGAGTTAAAAACATGAAATCTATTTTTTTTCAAGAAAGATGACACAATAAACTCCATTTTATAGTAAACGTACCTAAAGATGAATGAGGAGGAGGAGTGATGGGGAAGAGGGGAGAAGAGAAGACATTCAGACAGAATGCTAAACTGGTAGGGTGGCGAGGCCTTGGGATACAGTGGAAGGGCAGGAGAGGGGCAGGGAGAAAATGGTGGTGCCTACATGATTATTTGATGAGCAAGAAGCAATTGTTACTTTTTTAATTCTGTGGGGCTGTGGATTTCAGCATCCTTGATCACTGCTCATTAATGCAAATTAACTGGTTAGTCTCAGCCTATAATTCCTCGACAGCGTTAATCTTTAAATCCTGTGAGTCTTGATCCCAAATGAGACAGCTACCACAGCCCACCAGTCTGGAGTGTGGAGGGTAATGAGCCATGATTTTCTGAGCCTTCTCATAGTGGGTCTGGATGACATCATAGTGGAGGGAATCTACCCCTTCCATGGAATAGAAAGGGCAGGAGTATTTTGTTGCCAGGGACCAAACTAATAAAAATCAGTCCGCTTTACGTTTTACCGAAATTACCTCTGACACATGGGTTTTACAGTGGGGCTTATTCTGTCAATAAATTTTTCATGGAAAGTTAGGTTATTTAGATCAGTGAGGTTCACATAGCACACTCCAGCTGTAATATGCTAGCTAAATTGCAACCCAGTGGCCTGAAAGAATTAATTCATCTCCCAAAATGTGAGATTAAATCCTAGGGAGTAACATTACATGACTGATGATGTACTGAATTAAATTAAAGGAAGACTTGAATGCTTGTTAAAAAAATCTCACTTACATAAACTAGTTTATAACCACATGTGAGCCTCCTAATGGATCATGTTATTGTGAATCCACCATAACAAAAATCCAAAATGTGAACTAGAATGTTTGTTTAATTTAGGGGAAAAAATAATTATGATCTGTTTCTTCATTTTTACAAGTCCAATAGTTCAATTTTTAATATTATGATGGTAACACAGAATATGTTTAATTTACAAACCTGCTGGAACTAGGAAATGAAGCACACACCCCGGCCCCATACTGGTCCCTGTGACCCTGAGTCTGCCTTGCGGTAGGTGGTGTGGCTATTTGCTGTTCTCTCCTGCAGCAGCATACTGTATTCATTTAACATTTTTGAAGACTTAAATATCACTGCATGTGCCTTGCCTTTTGACGTCTTGAGATGATATGAGCTCGTTAAATGAATGGAGGCCTGGAGGCAGAGGCTCAGCTCTGTGGCTACTCCAAGCAGGAGGATTGCTTTCTCCTGGACTTTCATTATAGGCTGCCCTTTTTCCATGGCTGACCCTATTATTCACACATAAAATGTGCTCATATTTTATTTAGATTTGAAATTTAATGCAAAGGGACTATGTAATAGCACACAGGGTCCTATACAAAAGAGAGTGACTGAGTAGGAAAGCAGGAACAAGGCACATGGAAGTGGCAGGTTTTCCACAGCCAGGAGAATCCTCTTAGAGGATAGATCGGTCTTTCTGACTGTAGGATGCAACTAAGACCCTCTATACCACCAAGGAAGGAATATGTCCCAAATGATTAATAGTAAAATTTCTCATTATTGGTTTTAGTTTGGGTTTTATACATGTAACCAAGTACAGTTGGCCCTCATTATCTATAGGTTCCTCATCCACAGCAGATTGCCTGTGGATCAAAAATATTTGGAGAAATTAAAGTATATCTGTACTAAACAGGTACAGACTTTTCTTCTTGCCATTATTGCCTAAACAGTACAGTACAACAGTTAATCGTATGAATTATAAGGCATCTAGAGTGATTTAATTACAGGAGAATGCAAATACTTTGCCATTGTATATAAGAGACTTACAGATTTTGGTGTCCAAGGATGATGATCCTGAAACCAAACCCCCATGAATAGCAAGGGACAATTACATATAAAATGTAATTCTTATTGCTATAGTTTTCTTCTTCCTTTCCTTCTTTTCTACCCATTCCCCTTCTGACTCTTAGTCAGAAACACAAAGTCCCAGGAGTTCTAGGTATCCTCTCTAAATCTCGCCTCTTCCCTTTTGAAACTTCAGACTACTCTCCCTTTCAAAGCAAACAGTGGGTGGTGGGTGTTCCATACCAACTCCATCAGATTAGGTCCATTCAAAGCCCCTCTAGGTCACACTGGCCTCCCATCCAGTGTTAACTCTCAAACCCTATGTTGCCTCTGAGTTTATCAATATCTCCACTTCTATTGGACTCTAAGATATTCACCAATTCACCTGGCCCTGCTCTACAACCTTATCTCATACTCCATCTTGAGGACAGAGAAAAAACCAAATGCCTATTTGGTTCACTATAGTAACCAATGGGCTGATCTTCCTTCAGAGTAATAGGATCTAAGCTTAAACATTTGTTTACTTCTTAAAATGCAAATTAGTGGAAGACACAGTAAAATTGCAAAAACCACCATGAGTTCCTAATTCTCTCCCATTACTGCCACAGTCTGGCTGGGCACAAATGCCGCAGTCTGGCTGGGCACACAATCACGAGCCACCACACAGCTTGTAGATTCAAACAGCAACTCTTTATTCCCGAACTCACACCAGCCGTCTACAATCACATTCTGGGGAAATCCACGTTCTCTGCCCAAATCCACGTTCTCTGCCCAAATCCACCTCCACTGGGCTTCTATCTCCCAAAAAATACTGTCTAAATCCCGTGAGAACTCAAGGGGAACTCTGGCAGCAGGATACGCCCTATTCCCAGCAGGAATAATCTTAAACCTTAAACCTGGAACCTAAACTGGGAACGCCCTAAACAGGATTATCTTAAACCGGGAACACCCTAATCCGCCTTGGTCCTTGAGCAAGGTCACCTACATTCAATGTCACTGCAACATGGGGCAAGCTGGCAAGGAAATTGTCATACCTACTTGGCTAATGGCTCCCAGCATCTCCCCCCTTCTGATTAATTAAACAACAAGCAATGTGGCTTAAGGACCGTGCCTGGTAGGTTGTCCAATTCAACATATGGTTCTTACCCGTCATCGGAAAACTGACCTTTAGGCGTCAGCCTCCTGTCTTAGGTTGATACCACTGCAATTGAATCATACCCATCACTGACTACCGGTCCAGCATAAGCCATTGGCCCCCAAATTTTAGACCATCACTAGCAGAAGGGAGGAGGATACAGAAATGCCACGACACCAAGCCAATTGACGGCTCCTTGGGAAAAATTGCATCACTGGTGACACCATCAGCAAAGATATGCCAGCACTACCACAATTAACATGGGGTGCGCTGGCAAGGAAATAAAAATTGCATCACTGGTTAATCACTGTCGCAGATGTAAGAATGGCCAAGCTGGAGTTCCGGATATCAGCTGTTATGGATTTGAGTCAAATCATCTTCTTTTCGATCTGTAGAAATTGTTTTAGTTAATCTCTCTGGAATCCAAATTGGCTGCCGTTCTCCCTGTGGAAACACACAAACAAAACCCCGACTCCAGACAATCACTGGGTCAGGACCTTTCCATTGTCCTGTTAGAATATCTTTCCAAAGTACCTTAGGCTTTTGTACATTTTTTGGATACATATGCCTTTCCGCAGCACTAAGTCCTGATGAATCCAAATTTAAAAAGTTTAGAGTAAAAAGCGTTATTTTAAGTTTATCTTTGGGGGATATATACCCCCTTCCAATTCCCTCTTTTTGCTTTAATAAGTATGTGTCTGTATCTAATAGTTGTCTTAGCTTTTTGCATTTTCTATCTGAAATACCTTACTTGACATTTTCAACCATTTTTTATCTTATTTCTATCTTCTAGTTTTTTTTTTTAAGGTTTGAATTTTTACCCTTAGTTGCTTATTTTCCTCCTAGTTTTTTTTTTTTTTCCTATTTTGTGGGTTTAAAATTCTTGTCTTCCTACATTTTTTTTATCTTTCTACATCTTCTTTATCTTTTTTCTTTTTAACTTTCTATACTTCTGTCTTTAAAGTTTTTCACTTTAAATTTTTAATCTTTTTTATCTAAATATCTTTTATCCAATTATCTTCCCATTTTTTTTAAGTAATGCCTTTAAGATTAACTAGGCTTCGAATGATGCAATCTTTTCTCTGTCATGAAGGCATTTTAACCACCTTCAATTTAACCTTTTAAAGCCTTTTAATTATCATCTATACTGTACTTTTAAATGTACTTTTTCACCACCTACAACTTCACTTTTTAAAACGAGGTTTAGATTCTGCTTTAATGTTAGTTTACATGGCTGCCCTTAAACCAAAGGCTTTTTTTTAAAACTCCATTGAGAAGCTTTGTCTCAATCTGCCATGTACAAATATCTTTTTCTTCTTTCTTCCTTTCTCAAGATTTTAAATTAAGTCTAGTTTCCTCAAAATCTTTTTAAATGGCATTTTACAACCTTTTACTTTACCACACAGAGATTATCTCATCTAGAAACATTTCTTTCTTTTTTTTTAATCTTTATATTAAAATATATTTTCACATCTTGAATCTTTTTCTATCTCTTTTTTAACCGTTAACCCTTTTTATAAATTCACATTTTGAAGCAACTCTTATAAAATTTCTGATTTAGACAAATTACTCCACTTTAATAAGATGAAAGACTTTCATGTTTTTTATGATACTATAATACTATAATTGAAACCCAACTGAAAATTTTTCTACTCTTTGTATATAAATTACACATGATAGAATCTTAACACTTAGTAACCTTGTTTTAGCAAAGACACAGACACAAAGCAATATTAAACATTTTTCCATTTACCAATTTATGAAAACACACATAATGTTTAAATATATTACCTTATGGAACTTAATAAGTAAAGAGTACTTGATTTTATATTTAGTGGCCAAATTTGGGGGCCAACAGAGGTGAGGCAAAGAAACTCACCCCCTCACTGGTGCATAGACCTATCCACAAGTATGGCTGTATGCTGGACCGGTAGTCAGTGATGGGTATGATTCAATTGCAGTGGTATCAACCTAAGACAGGAGGCTGACGCCTAAAGGTCAGTTTTCCGATGACGGGTAAGAACCATATGTTGAATTGGACAACCTACCAGGCACGGTCCTTAAGCCACATTGCTTGTTGTTTAATTAATCAGAAGGGGGGAGATGCTGGGAGCCATTAGCCAAGTAGGTATGACAATTTCCTTGCCAGCTTGCCCCATGTTGCAGTGACATTGAATGTAGGTGACCTTGCTCAAGGACCAAGGCGGATTAGGGTGTTCCCGGTTTAAGATAATCCTGTTTAGGGCGTTCCCAGTTTAGGTTCCAGGTTTAAGGTTTAAGATTATTCCTGCTGGGAATAGGGCGTATCCTGCTGCCAGAGTTCCCCTTGAGTTCTCACGGGATTTAGACAGTATTTTTTGGGAGATAGAAGCCCAGTGGAGGTGGATTTGGGCAGAGAACGTGGATTTGGGCAGAGAACGTGGATTTCCCCAGAACGTGATTGTAGACGGCTGGTATGGGTTCGGGAATAAAGAGTTGCTGTTTGAATCTACAAGCTGTGTGGTGGCTCGTGATTTTGTGCCCAGCCAGACTGTGGCATTTGTGCCCAGCCAGACTGCGGCGCATTACATAGCATCATGCTGCCAATCTCAGCGTTAAGTTGGGCTTACTCCTTATGGTCAATTGTGATGCGCTTCCCCAAACCACAAGTCTTTGCTGTCCTCAACTCCACTGAGCTATATTGGCCTTTCTAAGTTTGCCACAAGCACGAGAAATGGGGTCCTAGATTAATGTTCTCTGAATTGATGTTTATGTATATTTGCCTTGAAGGGCCTTTTCTTTTACTGAGTTTATGTGTGTATGTGGTTTTGGATGAAGGATTTAAATAACAGTTGCCTGAATAGAAAGCATAATTTATTTCATAAATAGAAATCAATACTAATTTCTGAATAGTTGCAAGTGGCGAAATAATTAGCATATTGTTATTCAGTAATTCTATTTCAACCTAAATTTTGCATTTAGGATCCTAGGACTCTTCATCCGAGGCATTGAAGAAAACAGCAGGTGCAAACGGGAGGGACTCTTTCATGAAAATGAATGTATTGTAAAAATCAACAATGTGGATCTGGTAGACAAAACTTTTGCTCAGTAAGCATTTTTCCATTGTTTTATTTGCTTTATCATCCCCCTAGAATGGTTATAATCATTACTGAACTCATTATGATCAAAATCAGAGGTAGAATTTCTGGTCATTTCCCTTTAAATGACCTCTGGACATCCATTTTGGAATGTGTTTTATGTCTTAGCACACTCAAAGGTGGCCCTCCTGTGTCCCAGACATCTCCAGGAACATTAAGCCACAGAATAGAGAAAGTTTTCCTGCTTGGTTGTCTTGCTGGGGCATTGATGAAGGGGTTTGTTTTTCTTGGGATGTGGGTCAGTTAGATTGATATTTAATAGCTCTTTTCACAGACTGTTAGTTCAGCTTATTAATTAACTGGCTTGATGTAAGCCGTCTGCCTTAAACCAAAGAATCTGTGAGAAATGTCTATGAGGATTCAGTGAATAATATAAGCAACTAACAAAAATTAAAATACTCTCTCTCAAGAAGTCATCTCTCCAAATGTGAAAATTTTATGGGAATAATTTCCTGTCCACTACAATAAGAATATATAGCACTCTGATACTACATATATGTTTTTAAATATATGTTGGTATTGTGCTGAGATTTCATGAGGAAATCAGTACTGATACTCCATAGTAATAGTAAGCAACCTCTCTTGTTTCTGACCCAACTGTTCATAATACATCTTTTCTCTGGGCATTAGTTCTCAACACTGTGTGTGTGTGTGTGTGTGTGTGTCGGTGTGTGGGTGTGTGTGTGTGTGTGAGAGAGAGAGAGGGAGAGAGAGAGGGAGGAAGAGAGAGAGATGGGGGGGTGCTTGGGGGAAATTAGTCATCAACTGCTTAAATGGTGAAAGAAATGAAGCCTTAAAACACTCCATTTTGTTCAACAAAATGATAGATAATATTATAATAATTATTAATAATGGTATTGTTTGATATGCCACAATGCATTTTCAAGGACTTGATAGGTATGCAAGACAGACATTATCATCCGTGTTTTATAGAAATGGAAAACAAAGGTCAAAAAAATTCAGTCTGGAGTTATTATGGAGGAGAAATTGATTCGCAATCAAGCAAAAAATAACCTATTAATTATCTGATCAAAAATACCAAATGATTTTTTTCACTTAAAATTAAAGTTTGCCTTTTTATATGTTCTTCAGTAATTAATGCTGGTTAGACTTTCAGATTTAGAAACACTTTAAAAAAATATGGGTCATTGGATAAGTTACTTAGTCTCTCTGAGCCTCAATTTGAGTTTGCAAAATGAGAATTAATTATATATACCTTGGTGGTTGTAAAGAAGAGTCAATGAGAACATTATGCATGGTCATCCTGCACGTGTAGCCCAGTGGGCAGGTAGTTAGTGGTAAACTCTGATGTTTAGGTAGCACAGTCATACTGGTAGTAATGTGGACAGTGTCTTGTGCCTGAGCTCCTGTGCGGAGCCTGGTTGCCTCTGTGCTGGAGTACTGTGGAAGGTAGCTGCTAGCCACTGTATCATGACACATTTACTGACTTTTTCAAGGGCACAAGATGTCTTCCGCCAGGCAATGAAATCCCCAGATGTGCTCCTCCACGTGCTTCCACCTCAAAACCGTGAGCAGTATGAAAAATCAGTCATTGGACCTCTTAACATTTTTAGTAGCAATGATGGAGTTTTGAGAACAAAAGCACCTCCTCCTGTCCATGGGAAATCTGGAGTAAAGACAGTAAATCTCACTGGAACAAATAGTCCTGAAGCAAATGCACCACCTTCTCTGCAACAAAACAAGAGTCCCCGAGTACCAAGACTAGGAAGAAAATCTTCATCTCCCTCTCTCTCCCCTCTCATGGGGTTTGGCAGCAAGAAAAATGCAAAGAAAATTAAGATTGACCTAAAGAAAGGTAATTATTAAATTATGCTTAATAGCATTCTATTATTGTAACATGTAAAATTGGTTAAGAGAAATGCATTAAGCCTAATTTAGTTAATTCTCCCTTTATTTAATTGTATCAAAGAATAGATTTAAGTGTATACTTAGGTAACTTAAATTTCTTGAAATTGTAATACTTTCTTCTCTTCTACAGAGTATAGATTATTTGAAACAAGGAAACAATAAAAACACGTTGGAGAGTGGAAAGAATCGTTGCAAACTTGATTGAGGCCAAGCAATATTGTATTCTAACTTAACACTAAATAGGAACTAAAATCCAGTTGTCCCAGTTTCAAGCACAATTAGTAATGTTTTAAAGAATCCTTTAGGACAAGTCCAACAAAGATATAGTCTCTGTTTCCCTAGAACAATTTTATATAAGCAAAAAGTTGACTCTTCAGAAAGCAAATATATGATTATTAATTTCACTGATTCAGCATTACAAACACTGTTTTAAAACATACCTAATTTTGAGCACATGTATAATCTTTCTTCATTCTTTTAAATTTTTCTATCCATTACAAGCACAAATCAGTGAGACTAGATCATGTACACACGTGTACTTATGAAATACTATATACACATATGCACACATAAGGTGTTCATGGGCTATTATGTTTCTTGTTCATTTTGTAACCTTTGTCTAATATTCCCTTTCCCCATTACAACCTTCTAAAATCCTATGCTTTTCAAGACAATTCAAAAAGAACCAAGATCTCATAGATTCTTTACTGAATTAATAGAGAATTTAGCGGTTACAAGGTAATTTTAGAATACCTACAAGTGTATTTCAAAATATGTATCTTTAGTTGTTCTTAAAAGAGTCTCTGATAAAAATTTTATTCACTTATAAGAATCCTCTACTGGAAATAAAATGTATTGAATAAGAAGCATAGATCCTTAATTGCTCAGCAATTAAGCTTTTTTATTTAAATGCATCTGTTGAAGTCTATGTACAAGTAATCCAGCTATGCGTAATATGTGAAGTTAGGTTCTTTGAGGACATAAATATGAGTCATAGAATCACTTTAAAAATCTATAAGAGGGCTGGGGATGTGGCTCAAGCGGTAACACGCTCGCCTGGCATGCGTGAGGCGCTGGGTTCGATCCTTAGCACCACATAAAAATAAAACATTAAAAAAAAAAAAAAGATGTTGTGTCCACCGAAAACTGAAAAAAAATAAATATTAAAAAAAATCTATAAGAAAGACTTGAATGTAAAAATAAAGAATATGACATCACAGGTATACTTTGGGAAGATTAATCTAGAATCAAATAGATATACTAATGAAAAAAAACAGACAATAAAGGTCAGTACAGGATGTGTTGCCTGTGTCTAAATGCAGAAATATAATACACATTCCTTAATAGATGAAAGACTCTAGGAAGGAAGGAAGAGAAATTATAATCATTGCTGAGGTTCTCAGGGCAACTTGCATAACGGAGATGTCATTGATAGAAACTAGAATTTTAAGTAGGTGAGGCTATTGGAAAAGATCAGAATCTGAATTAGAGAAGGAAGTACATAGTGAAGTTTGAAATGCATATAGTGGGGCTGGGGATGTGGCTCAAGCGGTAGCGCGCTCACCTGGCATGCGTGCGGCCCGGGTTCGATTCTCAGCACCACATACAAACAAAGATGTTGTGTCCGCCAAATACTAAAAAATAAATGTTGAAATATTCTCTCTCTCTACCTCTCTCTCACTCTCTCTTTAAAAAAAAAAATGCTTTAAAAAAAAAAAAAGAAATGCATATAGTGATATCTAGAAAACTGATATCAAAAGGAGAGATTAGGGCCAAGGGGATCTTAGTCTTTCCTATAGGGAGATAATATAGGATCCAGTAGCTGACCAAAGCCATGGGACAAATTCATCCAAAATAGAGCCTTGGGAAACATTTGTGTTCATGTGGGAAGACAAGTGTATGTACTAGTGACTGATGTTATATGATCACAGAGGTAGGATAATAATCAGAAAATAAAACATTAAAACCAAGGGGAATTAATTTCAGAAAACAATTGGTGGGAAGTGTCAAGGCTAAATTAAATTGATAATAGGAAGAATTATTGGGTATTGTCATTGGTCGATGTGTTGGTTAGCTTTTTATTACTATAATAAAATACCTGAGATAACAAACTTAAAAAGAGGAAAGGTTTATTTAGGCTTATAGTTCTGAAGGTTTCAGTCCATGGTTGATGGTTCAGGTGCTTTTGAGTCTGTGACAGCAGTATATTATGATGGGAATATGTCATGGAGCAAGCTTCTTACTTCATGTTGGCCAGGAAGCAAAGAGAGAGAAAGAGAAGGGGACAGAGTCCTAGTACCCACTGCTAGAGCAAACCACTAATGATTTAACTTCTTTCCACTGTGTCTAACCTCCTCCCAACAGTGGCATAACCTAGGGACCAAGCCTCTTACACGCAGGACTGTGGAGGACATTTATCCTATCCCTAGTGGTGGAACATTGGTGATGGAAGCTTGGAGAAGAATGAAATTGAAGTAACAGTTCTTTATGGCAGAGACAGCTGATCATCCCTCAGAGAGTGAAAAATACACTGGAAGGGAGAAATTAGAGATGTGAGAGAATAAGGAGGTGCATCAGGTTTCTTGCTGGCAGGACATGAGACGTTGGCTTGTACAGGTTCAGGATACAAACAGAGGGGTGAGCCACAGATGAGCCAGCTGACTGAGAAACTGACAAAATTCAGGTCAAGTCGCCCTTTCCTTCCCAGGAAATTATGCAGTCAGGTTATGGTTTACTGAGGAACCCATCTCAGGCATATGGATAATATGTGCATTTCTTCCAAAACCTGAATAAACAAAAGTGTAGCACAGATATATAGGGCGCCATATTCACTTTGATACCATCATGGCCTGTCAGAAACCATAATTTTATTTGAAACCAGAGGAACTGAAGCATATTTTAAACCTTCTGGAATGTAAATATTTTACTTATTCTTAGTCTAAATTAGGTAGATTTTTACTGTAAGATCAAATATAATATTATGTATGCTGAAAGTGACTGTTCACTTTTCTGGTCTTATACGCTAGGCCCTGAAGGACTTGGTTTCACTGTGGTTACCAGAGATTCTTCCATACATGGTCCTGGTCCCATTTTCGTAAAAAACATTTTGCCAAAGGGAGCAGCAATAAAAGATGGCCGGCTACAGTCAGGAGACAGAATTTTGGAGGTAAGGATTTAAATTAATAACTTTGATAAAATATTAGTAAATAAATAAATACATGAACATATACAGCTGTCTCTCACAGTATCCCTGGCAGATTGGTTTCAAGACCACTCCGCAAGATTACTACATTCTGCAGATGCTCAGATCCTTTATGTAAAATGGCTCATAATCTGGACACCTCCCTCCTGTATACTTTAAATCATTTCTAGATAACTTATAATACCTAATACCATATAAAAGCTGTGAAAATGACAATTATACCATATTTTTTAAGGAATAATGGCATTTAAAAATCTGTACATGTTCAATGCATATACAAGGAATTTTTAAAGTTTTTTTTTTAATTTGTTCTCTTTATACATGATGGTAGAATGTATTTTGACATATTATACATACATGGAATATAACTTCCCATTCTCATATAAGAGAGATTTTTAAAATTTTTTTTTAATCGGAGATTCATTGAATCCATAGATTCTAATGAAATCCATGGATATGGAAGGCTAACTGTACACTAGCATTTCATTTTGAATATAAAATATATTAAAATTTATTACTTATAGACAAGATAAGGACTCTAATTATGAAACTAGTTAATGAGTAGCCTAACTTAATGTTAAGTCCCCAGTGAGATCATTGATATGGGGTCAAATAATAACGAAGACTTTTCCATATCTTCTCTTTCTTACTTCTTAGGGTTCTTGGAGAATTTGCATTAACTCCAACAGTTCATCATATATTCAGTGAGGTCAAAAGAATTTCAGTCACACCCAAGCCTTTGCAACAGTGTTTTTTTTTTTTTTAACTTTTAAGGGGTGGGGTGTTTCTCAGGTTGAACTATGCATTGTCCAAATTTTCATAACCTGGTATACACAGCTAGTAATAGAAACAGCTAAATGGGTTTTAACATAGATAATTATTTGGAATATCTGAAAGTCTTTTTTTTCATTCATGTTTTAATAACATCATATTCTTGTTAATCTTATGTTGCTGATGTATTTACCTCTTAAGAAATCATCTTTAGTAAAACTGGCTGGTTTATTTTCACTATTTTAGGGCATGAAATCAAGACTAGCTTTTCATGTAGTTCTAGATCATGAGGAAGATGCACCAAATGACTAACATAGCTCCAAATTAGAATTTCCAATAACTTATGACAATCTTCTGACTATAATTTTCTGGACATGAGAGCATTTTAGAATTATATAAAAAGAAATACTCATATTGCCAGAGGAATTTGCCATGTAGTAATAGTTCATTTCTTCTTGTTCTATTGGGTAAAAAATGGTGCCAAGCAAGCATTTGAAATCTACTTTCCACCTAATTGACAAATCAATCTCTGGTACCTGTCAATTTGATTTTCCCCTCCGAAGAATGTGATGGCTTAGAAAAAATTGCTGTTACTAATGACTGACTGAGTTTGTTCAGCATCATAATAATGATGGTCAGAAAATGTAATTGTGACTATTCATATGATTTTATTCATTAGGTAAATGGCAGAGATGTCACTGGACGAACTCAGGAAGAGCTTGTGGCTATGCTAAGGAGCACCAAGCAGGGAGAGACAGCCTCTCTGGTCATCGCTCGCCAAGAAGGAAATTTTCTGCCCCGAGAACTGGTAATGTTCAGAGCTCAGTCTCACTGAATTTTCAATGAAGATCTTAACACACTCATCGAATTCACAGTAGCTTACTACCTAGTTCTTGACCACTGAGCCATATTACCAGCCCTATTTTGTATTTTATTTAGAGACAGGGTGTCACTGAGTTGTTTAGTGCCTCACTTTTGCTGAGGCTGACTTTGAACTCACAATCCCCCTGCCTTAGCCTCCTGAGCTGCTGGGATTACATTTATACCAAAGTTGGATTTGAGTATTTATTCCTTTGGAGTATCACATTTTTTTAGGCATTGTTGCAAGGAATTGGGTACATGTAAACAATGCTTTGGATATACAGATTCAAACACGTTTATTGATAACTATTCAACAAAATTCGACTAATTAAATAAAATATATATGGAGTATATGCTGCAGGCTAAGACCTACATAAAACAGAAAAATAGTTCCTTGCCCCTCTTTCATGGAGTATCCAGTCTAAAAAGAAACAGAAACAGAAGCCAGTCTTCAAAATGGAAATGAAAATTAAGAAGGAGAACCATAGCATGTTAAGATTAACATTACAGGTCTCAAGGACTGGAAAAGGCATCTTGAGGAAGAGAATTTTAAGTCTTCATAAAAATGTATACCCTTTGACCTAGAAACTACACTTTTAGTAATCTGTCCTGAATTGATGATCAAAGATATGGAAAAAATTCATGTACATTGATTTTTTTTCCCCAAAGTCCTATATAAAATAGTGATATATTTGGTGCTATATAGCCATAAGGTATTGGTTAGATAAATAACTAGATATTTCTCCAATGAAATATGATAAACTTAAAATGGGCTCAGTGAAGAGTTATTAATGGCATGAGAAAATATGGAATAATATTAAGTAAAAAATAAAATTCTATATAATTATACATGCAGAATGATCAAATTACATTAAAAACTGAAACAAAATAATTGGGAAGAGATGTACCCCAAATGCTGAGGCTATGAGAAATTTTAACTTTCTTGTATATGTATTACAATGAATTCATATTGTTTATTTATTGAAATATCATTTTTTTTAAAGAAGGCTATAGAAAATTCAAAAGGGGTTTTGTGGCTAACAACAAAGGAAAGCAGATGGGATAAAGGGACTTTAAATTACTCCCTGTTTTTTAAAATTTGATTTTCTTTGAATCTGTGTAAGAGATGACAAAGGCACATATAGATAACAGAGTCAGATCATCAGAACAGTGAAGGTTCCTTGGGAGAGTTAATGAGGCTATTTAGCTTAAAGAAGAGAAAGTTTAGAAGGCATGATAATTTTCACCAAATATGTAACAAACAGTGTATCTGGTTGGTGCAAAGTTAGAGATTTGGGGCATGCAAAAATAATGAAGACTCTTTTCCTACTCTCTTTGAACTTGTCCCAAAGCAAATGGCTGGAAGGAGATAATGTTGTAAGAACTTTCCAACTATCAGACTGTATAAGAACAAAAAGTGTTACTTAGAATATTTAAACATGGCCTGCCTTACCATCTGTCAAGAGTGATCTATAATAAACATTCTCCCATCAGGAAAGTTAAATAAGTCTAAACAACCTCTAAGATATCAATCTGTACTTGGATTCCGTTGCTCCTTCCCTGTCTTTCCCATGCTCTTGTTCATCGTCCCCCTTGCCCCACTGTATGTGCTGGGAAGAACTGTAGTCAAACAGAAAGCAAGAAGAGTGAGTGGTGTAAGTCATAAAGACAAACTGTTCACCTCCTTTTCTCTTCTTTTTTTGGGAACTAGGGATTGAACTCAGGGGCACTTGACCACTGAACCACATGACCAGCCCTATTTTGTATTTTGTTTAGAGACAGGGACTCACCGAGTTGCTTAGCACCTCACTTTTGCTGAGGCTGACTTTGAACTCACAATCCCCCTGCCTCAGCCTCCTGAGCTGCTGGGATTACAGGTGTGCACCAGGGAACCCAGCTCCTTTCCTCTTCTTGTTTTCTCTGCACCCAACCATTTTGGAAGGCAGAATCTCATCTTGCTCAAGCTCCTTTCTCTTCCCAAGAAATGCTGCAGAAGCTTAAGTCCTCGGTTTTTTTCCTCTGAATTACAGATGGTTTTTCTTTCAACTTTGTTTATTCAAAGACCTTGGGCCTTTTCTACCAGGGTGAAAGTGAAAAGAAATGATAAGAAAGGGCGCAGCTTGTACATAGAGTAGGAAGTCCTTTCACTTCTTATTCAGACCTTTGTTTGCTAAAGATAAAAACTCAGAGCAAACCTCAGTGGGATTGTGTCTTTATTTCAGAGATAGGAGAGAAAGGAAAGAAGTTTTGACTGTTCATTCTGTTGAACTATGTTTCTGAAAGGAACAAAGCCCTTCATAGAAAGAGAAACATTTCAGCCAGCCCTTACACATGCAAGAGAACCTAACGACAGAGTTCTAATGTAAACCCTCAGGAGCCCCCAGGTCCACATCTGGTGGTTCTGACAGTTCTCTTGTATGATCTCTAGAATTCCTGACTCCATAGCTAATTTCTTCTTCTCACTCCCCCAGGTAAAGGGGGAGGGATGCTGATCGATCTTATTCTAGGTTGTTATTCTAAATGCATTTTCTATCAAAGACAAGTATATCTAGAAGTTAGCCAATGGAATAATAGAATTTTTACACTAAAGGGAGTTGTAAAAATCAGTAAGTCCAATTAATTTTGCAGTGAGTAAGCAAAGGAGTAGTGTAATTGAAAAATCCATCCAGTCTCCCACATTGAGCTGGGACTACAGGCCCAGGTCGCCTAACATTTAAAGTTGTCTGGACTTCAACTCCTAGACCTCAACTTCTATATCTACCATTTAGCTGTGTGATTGAGAGCAGGACACAAAATCATTCTGAGGCTCAGCTTCCTAATCTATATAAGGAATATAAATTTGTTGTAAGGATTAAAAGAAAAAATACATGTAAAGCTCTTATCATCTGTGGCTAATTATAAGTTTTTAATACCACTAGCTATAATTATTTTTTCTAGAATGTTACCACTGTCACTGTAATGTGAACATAATACTATCCTTTAGATATATTATGAAGTGAATAGATTTATACAGACTTCCCTAGGAATAATTACTATTTTTTGGACAATTGTTTTCTTTATTTAATTTTAAAAAATCTATTCTGGGATCCAAAATACTGAATGTCAAGCAAATTTTTTTATAACCTACCACTTTTACCTTTTGTAAGTGAGGCAGCCTGCGTATATTATTTCACTTTTCTTTAATAAAATTTCGTAAATTTTGATTTCTATCCCAGAAATGACTTCATAGGCTGAGCCCACCAGGGAGTCATTAAATTAATTGTGCAAGTATGATATTATGAATACAAATAACTTATTTGTACTCCTTGTTTTTAGTTTCATAAAAATGAAAAGCATGTGATTAGTATTCATTCTCTTAGAATTTTCTGGACTGTATCTACACTCAAAAATATTTGACTGTCCACTGTAGAAATTTGAGGAATACTTTCTGTAATCACAGAAAAAAAAAAAAAAGGAGGCAGTGCCTTTGAGAATTATAAGTACCTAACTTATGTGGACCCAAAATCTTTGTGTTGGATAAATAAAGAATAGTACTTTTTTTTTTTTTCAGCCCAAATGCCTGATGTGAATACCAAGAAGCAAGAACTATACTGAAAGTTTAAAGAGAGGTCATGTTTGCATGGACAGGACTATTTCAGTGGGAATTACTTCTAGGTGTGGCATGCACTGGACTCTGAAAGAACAAAATGAGGAACGAAATGTTATGTAATGCATCTCTTTGTTTTCCTTTTGAAAAAGGGAAGATGGTATCACTTTGGTCTCTTCTCTCTTATCATGATTGATGCACATACTTGACTTTCCATTGAAAATGTGGCAGGATGAAGGAAGGACAGCATTTCCTGCTTTTGTCTCATTCTATCTCCTTTGAGGAAAACACACTGTGTTTATTGTTTTCCTGTTCAGAGAAACTGTCCTTTCCCTTTTTGTTTTAACCTTGCTATTTCATGAGCTCTATACCATCTTAACAGCATTACCCTGACTGTTTTCCAGCAACTAAATCTTCCTCACTTCCTTGCTATCATTAGCTTCTTGTAAAGTCTCAATGCTTAACAGCTATTGAAGCATGTGGTCAGCAGTCATACAGGAAGTCTCAAAATAGTATTGTCTCTCGGATGTGACCCTCTGTCATTCCAAAGGCTTTAGCGTCCATTTCCTGGTCAGTCTCCTGACCTGCCACCTAGGAGAACTGTGCTGAACTTATATTTGCAGGTCCCTGTCCTTCCTCCTGAGCAATCCGTCAGCAGTATAAGTTTAGCAGCACATTTAGCTAACCACCTTTTCATCTGTATCAGACTGGGCTGGAGAATCAAATGAGAGCAATTTATATAAGAACATCAATATGATTTAGCTGTTTTTAGTATGTTACTTTACCAAAAGAACTGTGCTTCAAAGGTAGTTTTTCTAGAATCCCAGGCTAGAAGATCCTTTGATGTCCTCACCCGCTTGACAAGTTGAGACTTTATTGAAGAGGTGTTCATATAAGGAATGATTTTGCAGAAGGTACTCTGAGATTAGTGTTGGTAACAGAATCGGAAGGTGAAACCACTGTGTTTGGTCTCCACTTGAAATGAACTTGATGTTACTTATCAGTTGTGTATTGAGTCTGTTCTGTGAGAGATGTGGCCTACAAGTCCTTTTCTATCCCTGATGCCTGAAATTCTTTTCATCTTATACAGAGTCATCTAAGGCCATCTTTCCATTTAGAAATTATCCTGAACAACTAAAGGTTTTCTGTTAATTTCATGCCTTAATTCTTTTTGAGAGAGAGAGAAAGAGAAGAGAGTTATTTGCCATGCATCCTCATGTGCATGCATGTGTCTGTCTTCTTTCATTGATGCTGGGAAGGAAAATATTCTGTCATTTCTTTGTTAACCTCTTTAACGTTTCATTTTCTTGACCTGCTGCCTTATCTTTAAATTATCCTGAAAATCACAGCAACCCCTGGTG